GGAGGAGCAGGAGGAGAAGGAGTAGGAGGAGAAGGAGGAAGAGGAGGAGGGGGCTGGAGGAGGAGGAGGAGGAGGAGGAGGAGGAGGAGGAGGCGGAGGAGGAGGATGAAGTGAGGAGGAGGAGGGAGGGGAGGATGACGATGGGAAGGAGGCGGACGCCGACGATTTGGCTCGGACCCTGCCCACGAAAGCCGCGAGAGACGACCTCACCCGCCGAGCCGCGCCGAGCCGCGGCAGACCGCCGCCGATCGTCGATGGCGCCGACTGCCGCCAGCCGCGGGGCCGCGCTCGCGGCGTTGGCTGCCATCGCGTGCGGCCTGGTCGGATGCGGGGACTCCAGGGACAACGTTGGCGGGGGCTGGGCTTAGGAGGGACGCATCGACTTCCGATCGCCCGCTGATCGTCGAGAGGGGCCCGATGGCCCACCGCGTCCAGGAACGTGCGGAGTCGCCATCGAGGGCCCGTCGCCCATCTGTCTGCGAGGTATCGCCGGCTTCCAAGGTCGATGCTCCACCTTCTGAGCCAGGTCCCCCCTCTATATCGTTGCCCCTCAGGACTGGTCCCCTCAGAACTGGTTCGGCGGCTCGGGAGAGGACGCGAAGACGGTGGTCGCTGTGAATCGGAGAACAGAGGATGGCGTAACACACAACTTCTCGGAGGCTCGCGCAGATCTCTCGGATCAGCGCTGGAGCCACCTCCTTCGCGCGCGGAGCGCGCCAGGGGCGGCGCCAGAGGCGCCGCCAGGGGGCTCAGCGCCGATCCAAGAAATCGGCGCGGACCTCCGAAAGTCTGCGTTTGCGTATGCCATTATTTGCCCCCTGCATGAAGCGAGCGGCCCCTGAGGGAAATGCGCCCCGAGTTTTCCTTTCTCGCCCGTCCGGCTCTCGGGGCCCTCCTTGGGCCCCAGGGAGTGCCGAAGACCAGCGCAGGATTGCAACGACAAAAGTCCCAGGGGGGAGGCCCCAGAGCTTCCGGGACCGGCTTTCCCTCCAGACGCGCCCTGCGGGTGCCGATGGAACCCGCGGAGGCACAGACACACACAAGAAGCCGTCGGAGCTCCGCGCGGACCTCTCCGGTCTGCGCGCCGGCCTCCCCCTGCCTGGGCGGCCTCTCGGGCGCCGCCCCCCGGGGCGCGCTCCGCGCTCCCGGGGGAGGGGCTTCCCGCGCCGAGCCAGGAACTTCCGCGCGGAGCTCCACGAGATTTGACGCTTCTGCCGCCTGCCTGCTCCGCTTAAGGTGTGCGAGGCCGACCCGACGCAGGCGTGCAAGTGCATCCTGGGCGCCCACGTGTTCAGCGACATCGAGGGCTGCAGCCCCGACGCGTGCGACAGCCCCGCCGCGGGCCTGAAGGAGCTCATCGACGGGTGTGCGGAGAAGGCCAAGTCGAAGGAAGCGCAGTGCGAGGAGATCACGAACCTGATGCAGTGTGCGACTTAGCTGGGCGTGGATTTGGCAGTGCAGTATTTCTGTTCACCGCTTCCGAAGAAGTGCTTCATGGAAGTGGAAAGGGTACCACAAAACAGTTCTGGGCCTGGAGCGGCGACGTGGAACGGCACAACAAAACAGTTCTGGGCCTGGAGCCAGAATCAGGTAAACGCATCAGAGATCTGAAGAACAAGCTGCAACTTCCATGGGCTCCAGATATCGTGTAACAAAAGCCAAGAGTCTGGCCTGGACCCTGAGCGTTTTCTCTGAGCTGATCTTTCGTCGAACTTTCGCATCTCTGGACCTGTTCCAGAGAACGCTCGGAGTGAAGTTCCCTTTCTTAGCGTATGGTGCTCTTAACTCTAAGCAGGGGTGTACGGGAAAACGCGGCGGCGGAACTGGGAACAAGGCGGCGCCGGAGGCGGCAGCAGAAACGGAAGAGCGGAGCCGGTGCAACAGCGGCGGCCCCGTCGTCGCCAGGGCCGAGGGGTCGGAGCGGCGAGAGACAGATCCACTGCCGCTGGCCAGGCCCCTTCTGGGCCCAGGCGCGGTGGATGCGCTCCCTGGCTTGGCCAGGGAGGCATCTGCGCCGCGCCTGAGCCCAGGAGGGGGGTGGATACGCACAGATCGACCACGCGTAAGAGTGGCCCTTCGCCGGAGTGACCTTGTGCTGCGGGCCCACCGGGGACCTTCGATCGCCGAGCGCGAGGCGGCAGTGGTATCTTGCGCGCCTGTGTGTTGGCCCCCCCCGCGGCCAACAGAAAGCCGCGCACCAAAGGTCACTCTTACCAAGGGTCACTTCTGCGCGTAGCCGAACATCCGCCACGAGCAAAAAAACGCAGACACCCTCCACTGGATTGTTCCTGGGCCTCAGGGGAGGCTGGCGGTGTATAAACAACCACTGGGAGCCAGCGATGTTATACGCAGGGAGGTACATGCAAAATAATTCGTCGGAGGGGGTAGGAGGAGGGGGAGGAAGAGGAGGAGGAGGAGGAGGAGGAGGAGGAGGAGGAGGAGGAGGAGGAGGAGGAGGAGGGGGAGGAGGGAGGAGGAGGAGGAGGAGGAGGAGGAGGAGGAGGAGGAGGAGGAGGAGGAGGAGGAGGAGGAGGAGGGAGGAGGAGGAGGAGGAGGAGGAGGAGGAGGAGGAGGAGGAGGAGGAGGAGGAGAGGAGGAGGAGGAGGGGGGAGGAGGAGGAGGAGGAGAGGAGGAGAGGAGGAGGAGGAGGAGGATGGAGGAGGAGGAGGAGGAGGAGGAGGAGGAGGAGGAGGAGGAGGAGGAGGAGGAGAGGAGGAGGAGGAGGAGGAGGAGGAGGAGGAGGAGGAGGAGGAGGAGGAGGAGGAGGACGACTTTCGTGGCGTATGGAACAGGGCTCGTCGCTCTGAGGTGTGCGACCGAGACCGGCTGCACGGGCCCAGTCCTCACGGCGTCCTGCCAGCACATCGTGTTGCAGCACCCCGACTGCCCGGTGGACTGCGGCGGGGCGGCCCCCCGCGCGGGGGGCCTTGGCCTGGCGACCGCCGTGGCCGCGCTGCTGGCCGCAAAGTCCGGCCTCGAGGCGTGAGGGGCCGTCCGCGGAGGCCCCGCGAGATCTTCCCGCCCCCCTCGGAGCAGGAACATCGGGGGCGGCAAAGAGGGGGGTGATGACTAGGGGGGGGTGGATATCATGGCGTGGGCCACGAGATGTCCCCAGATGTCATGGCGCCTCGTCGTATGCCATGACGTCCCTGGCCCCCCCGCTGGGCCGCGCACGTGCCGCCGGCCATAAGTTGCACCCCGCCTTCTCTTGGACACCCCCCTCTTGGCCGCTCCCGAGAACAGCGCCCCCGGTGTCCGCTGGGAGTCGGGGAACAGAGGATGGCGTAACACACAAACTTTCGGAGGTTCGCGCAGATCTCTTGGATCGGCGCTGGGCCCACCTCCTTCGCGCGAGGAGCGCGCCGGGGGCGGCGCCAGGGGCACCGCCAGGGGGTCCAGCGCCGATCCGAGAAGTCGGCGCGGGCCTCCGAAAGTCAGTGTTTACGTCTGCCACTACCTGTCCCCCGAATGAAGCAAACAGGCCCGGAGGGAAACGCCCTCGGGGCCCTCCTCGGGCCCCATCGAGAGAGAGAGAGAGAGAGATGGGGAGAGAGGGAAAGAAGGGGGAGGAGGGGGAGGAGGAGGAGGAGGAGGAGGAGGAGGAGGAGGAGGAGGAGGAGGAGGAGGAGGAGGAGGAGGAGGAGGAGGAGGAGGAGGCGGAGGAGGAGGAGGAGGAGGAGGAGGAGGAGAAGGAGGAGGAGGATGAGGAGGAGGAGGAGGAGCAGGAGGAGGAGGGGGAGGAGGAGGAGGAGGAGGAGAAGGAGGAGGAGGAGGAGGAACGAGGAGGAGCGAGGAGGAGGAGGAGGAGCGAGGATCAGCGCAGGATGAATGATCAGCAAGGCCCAGGGGGAGGCCGCAGGGTCCGGGTCCCGCTCCCCTCCGGGCACGCTTTTTTGCAGGCGTCGATGGACCCACAGAGGCACACCGACGGGAACCCCTGCCAAGGAACGCCCGGCTTGCCTCCAGTCGGGGGTGGACAGACCTCCTGCCCTGACACGCCGATTAGTGAATTGTCCGTTTTCGGTTCTCCAAGGGCGCCGCGGCCGTCAGTTTCCAGGCTTGCGCCCGCCAGGTTTGGGCCCGAGGTCGTTTTCACTAAGCCACGTTTTACTAAAGGGGGGTCTGTCCATCCCCGATCCAGGTTGACCTGGGTTCTTTAGTTTCGATGGTTTTGCTTTTGAAGGCGTGACGCTCCCACACCAAGAATCAATGGACGTCCTGGGGTCTCAGGGTTGGGTTTCTTTCGGAAGGTTTCTCGTGGTCGAGTTCCGACTAGAAGCGTAAACTTTTGGCGCTCCGCGCCGATTTCGGATTTCTTGGATCCGCGCTGGGCCCCCCCTGGCGGCACCTCCGGCGCCGCCCCTGGCGCGATCAGCGCGCCAGGGAGGGGGGACCAGCGCAGATCCAAGAAAGCCGCGCGGAGCGCCAACAGTTTATGTCGATGGCGTTTTTTCTTCTGCTTCGTCTTCTTCTTCTATCCCAGCCGGCGGCGAGCGAGGGGGGAAGATGAGAAGGAGAAAGCCTCGCCAGAAGGCGGCGGGGCTGCTCAGGAGCCCTCGCGCCTTCTGAGAAGTGTTCTGTGCTTTCGGGGAGACAGCTCAGAACACTTTTCAGTAGGACGGGGGACTTCCGAGCCTTCTGAGAAGGTCCGCCCTTTCTCGCTCCCCCCCCGGCGCTCGCCGCCAATCTTATGGCCCCCAGCTCGCTCGCTCTGATTTCGACTCCTCTGGCTCGCTCCGATGTCGATGGCTTCCGATTCCGGTTCGATTCGGCCTCGGATTCAGATCTGGATCCCGATTTCTCGATGGAGGCCGCAGTAACCTTCAGTCGGGCCTGTCTTTCTACAGGGGGAATATTTACACATAGTCCAACATTATCCCAGTGCGACCCTACCTAGGAGTTGGAGCCCCTAGGAAAGCAGCATTAGTAGTAACAGTAAAACTAAGCTAAAGCTAAGCTAAAGCTAAGCTAAAGCTAAGCTAAAGCTAAGCTAAAGCTAAGCTAAAGCTAACGCGCAGCTAAGGCTAAGCTAAAACCAAGCTAAAACTAAGCTAACGCTAAGCTACAACTAAGCTAACTATAAGCTAAAGCTAAGTTAACTCTAAGCTAATGCTTAGCTAAATCTAAGCTAAAGCTAAGCTAAACTTAAGCAACATCTAAGCTAACTCTAAGCTACATCTAAGCTAACGCTAGGCTAAAACTAAGCTAACGCTAAGGTACATCTGAGGCACAGCTAAGTTACCACTAAGCTACATCTAAGCTAACTCTAAGCTACATCTAAGCTTAATCTAAACTGAAGCTAAGGTGCAGCTAAGCTAACACTAAGCTACAGCTAAGCTAACGCTAAGCTAAAGCAGAGGTACAGCTAAGCTAAAGCTCAGGTAAAGCTAATTTAAAACTAAGCTACAGCTAAGCTAACACTAAGGTACATCTAAGGTAAAGCTAAGCTAAAGCTAAGGTAAAGCTAAGCTAAAGCTAAGCTAAATCTAAGCTCAATCTAAGCTACATCTAAGCTTAAGCTAAACTGCAGCTAAGGTGCAGCTAAGCTAACACTAAGCTAAAGCAAAGCTAACGCTAAGCTAAAGCTAAGTTAAAGCTAAGCTAAAGCTAAGCTAAAGCTAAGCTAAAGCTAAGCTAAAGCTAAGCTAACGCTGAGCTAAATCTAAGCTAAAGCTAAAGCTACAGCTACAGCTAAAGCTAAAGCTAAAGCTAAAGCTAAAGCTCCCAGGGGACTGGGGGAATCGCGGGGCGGATCCTGGGGGAACCGCCTGGGGCGGGGAGCACTGCCCGGCCCCTTTAAGCAAACAGGGTAAGAACCCTTCTAGGCAGAGCCTAGGTAGGGAAATAAGTCTGGGGACTATTGTTTGACTTTTTTCGAGCATTTTGTTGCATTTTTTGCGTTTTTTTTATTTTTTGTCATAAGTCCCCCTGTAGGGGGACACGCCCGACTTAACAGTAGCCTTCTTAGTTCTGCTGATTCGACTCCTCCCGACTTGGCTGCCTACTCCCGCCGATCCAGCTCGTCGAACCGATTTGGGGCTCTTCTGCCGCCCAGCACGGAGCTCCGGTGCAGCCCCACACGGCGACTGCTGGTTTCGCCGACAGCAGCTGGTTTCGCCGACAGCAGCTGGTTTCGCCGACAGCAGCTGGTTTCGCCGGGCGGCGAAACCAGCCGGGCGAAACCAGCCGTCGGCGGAGCGCGAAACCAGCTGCTGTCGGCGAAACCAGCTGCTGTCGGCGAAACCAGCTGCCGTCGGCGAAACCAGCTGCCGTCGGCGAAACTGCCCGACCCGATGCGCCCGCCAGGATCCGCCCGCCCGACCTGACCCGCTCGTTACGGTTCGCGCGTGCTCGGTCGAGCGCGCCCCACGCTTTAATGTCCCGCCCGCCCGACCCTCCCATTAGGGTTCGCCTGCCCGACCCGACCCGACCCGCCCTCTAGGGTCCGCCCGCCCGACCCGACCCGCCCGTTAGGGATCGCGTCGGCGAAACCAGCGCCGGCGAAACCAGCGCTGGAAACCGGCGCCGGCGAAACCAGCCCTCGGCGAAACCAGCGGGGCGAAACCAGCGCCGGCGAAACCAGCGCCGGCGAAATCAGCGGGGCGAAACCAGCGCCGGCGAAACCAGCGCCGGCGAAACCAGCGCATGCGCCCCAGACATGCTCGGCCTGTGCGCGGGCCACTGCTGGGCGTGCGAAGTTCGAGGTTTTTTCGGACGTTCTGGTCGGTTCTCCGCGGTTTGCCAGCCTCGGGATGCGTTCCTCCTCCTCCTCCTCCTCCTCCTCCTCTTCCTGCTCCTCCTGCTCCTCCTGCTCCTCCTGCTCCTCCTGCTCCTCCTCCTCCACCTCCTTTTCCTCCTCCTCCTCCTCCTCCTCCTCCTCCTCCTCCTCCTCCGGACCCCCCCGAACAGCCGCCGGAGACTAGAGTGACGGCCCGAAAGGCAGACCTCATGATTTTGGGCCGTTGTCGGCTTCAGGGAGCCCTTACGGGGCCCGGGGACTTTCAAACAACGACTCGGGGATGAAGAACTGGCCCCAGGGAAAGGTTCGGGGCTTCGGGGGAACCCGTAATTATGGAGAAATCGGGACACCGCATGCCCGGGGCGTATTACGGTCGGGAATTCGTGCTTGGCGCGTCGCGTCGCAGGTTCTGGCTCACCACGCTTCGGCTCGACATGCTAATCACTTGTCAGAGGCCAGCAACATATTTACACGTACGCGGTTAGTTTCCCCTGGAGTGCGTGTCAACGCGGACGTTCGTGCAGGCAAGACCGCGGAGGGCGTACATGTACACATGTCGTTGTTCGCCCAACTTGACAAGTCTCAGGCGTCCACGTCCCGCGCTTCTCACAGCCTCCTGCCCCGCGGAGCGGCGCCTCGCGCCACCCGCTCGCGCAAATCGTATAGCGTGCCGCCGGGCGCCGCCGCTGCGACGCGCCGCGCAAAGGTTCCCGACCGTGGAGCGGGGGGACCGGCTCAGGGAGGGACGCGTCGACCCCCCCATCGCCAACGGAAGGAGGAGGAGGAGGAGGAGGAGGAGGAGGCGGAGGAGGAGGCGGAGGCGGAGGGGGAGGAGGAGGAGGAGGAGGAGAGGAGGAGGAGGAGGAGGAGGAGGAGGAGGAGGAGGAGGAGGAGGAGGAGGAGGAGGAGGAGGAGGAGGAGAGGAGGAGGAGGAGGAGGAGGAGGAGGAGGAGGAGGAGGAGGAGGAGGAGAGGAGGAGGAGGAGGAGGAGGAGGAGGAGGAGGGAGGAGGAGGAGGAGGAGGAGGAGGAGGAGGAGGAGGAGGAGGAGGAGGAGGAGGAGGAGGGAGGAGGAGGAGGAGAGGAGGAGGAGGAGGAGGAGGAGGAGGAGGAGGAGGAGGAGGAGGAGGAGGCGGAGGAGGAGGAGGAGGGGAGGCGGAGGAGGAGGAGGAGGAGAGGAGGAGGAGGAGGAGGAGGAGGAGGAGGAGGAGGAGGAGGAGGAGGAGGAGGAGGAGGAGGAGGAGGAGACGGAGGCGGAGGCGGAGGCGGCGGCGGAGGCGGAGGAGGAGGAGCGTGGGGCCCTGCGATACCTCGGGGCCCCTCGTCGATCGGTCGGCGGAGTGCAGCATGCCCGGCCGTCCAGGTCGATGTTCCCCCGCCCCCCTGACCCGGCCCCCCCCCGCCCCCCCTCCCCCTTGTCGTTTTCCCCTTTCGGGAGCCTAGAGATTGGTACTCAGAGGCAGCCTAACGGACCCCTAGCAAACCATCCCCTTCCGTGACGTCCCCCTCGCCTCGCCCCAAGACGTATGTATGCTGCCGGACGGGAGCTCGAAAGGCGAGGAAGACGTCACGGAAGGGGATGGTTTGCGAGGGGTCGGTTAGGCCGCGCCTGAGGTACCAACACCGGCATCGGCGGTTGAGGGAGGATGATCCCGATCCCCGGGAGTGTTGGTAATATTCGGGCTTGTCGGGTGGCCGACCAACACCAGATTCATGGATCATCTTCCCACCGCGGAGGGGCCCCCTGGGACTGGTGTTGGTGTCAACTTGCAGGCCCCCAATCCTCAGGTGTGGTGTAATTTTTTGTCGGGGAGGCGCATCCTGTGAGCCTCGCCTGCCCGTCTGTTAGTAACTTTGTTGTCCCCGCCTGGCCTCGCGTGACAGGGCTCGGGCCTCTGGCGGACGATCCGCGCGCCTAACTGTGCCGCGGAGCGCGGGCCTGCAGAGCCTTCATGATCCTCTGACGGACCTCTCGAGACCTGATGCTGCTGACACTCCATCGGTAGACATCCCTCGGGCAACGATAGGGGTGGATAGGCATAGGAGGGGATGCATCGCCCCCCAATCGTCCATTCATCGCCGATACGGTGCTCCATAGCCCCACCCCGCCCAGGAACTTACGATTCACGATTCACCATCGGGGGCCTATCGCCGATCTATCGGCGACGTGTCGCCGACTCCAGGTCGATGTGTTCCCCCCTATGGCCCCTACAGTCGGGGCGCTGAAGAGGGAACCCTTTTCGGTGGGGAGGGGCTCCGTGCTCGCTGATTGTGTCACAATTGGCCTTTAGGTATTCCTTAGGAGGTCTTCGATGGGATATCGAGGTTCAACTTGTGCAGAAAAGGGGCCCCGTTCCTCATACTTAGGATTCCTTACGGCAGCGCCCCGACCGTATGCCAGTCCCCCGCTGCCGTTGCCCCTGCATCCATCATCCAAGTCCGCGCGCCAGAGTTGTCACGGCACGAGGCGGCCGCACAGCCACCAGGGCGCTGAAACACAAGGACCACCCTGGGCTCAGGAGGGGGACGATGATGATGATGCTGCTGCTGATGATGCTGCTGCTGATGATGATGATGAGGAGGAGGAGGAGGAGGAGGAGGAGGAGGAGGAGGAGGTCCTGGCTGGCGAGCCCCTTCGTGGCCCGGGCCCGCCGAGGCCAGGAGAGCCCCCCCCCCCCCCCCAAAGAGCTCTGCCGTGGCACACAGGAGAGAGAGAGACCCATAGCCGCGGAGGCCCCGCCCCCTCCCTCCGGGGGGCTAGCCTCGCGCCCGAGTTCACGTTTCCGACGGCTCCGGGCGCCGATGTGGGAGGTCGTCGAGGTCCTGCCCCTTCCTCCGGGGGGCAGCCTCGCGCCCGCGTTCACATGTCCGACGGCTCCGGGCCCCGATGTGGGAGGTAGTCGAGGTCCTGCCCCTGCCTCGGGGGGAAGCTTCGCGCCCAAGTTTATGTTTCCGGTGGCTCCGGGCCCCGATGTGGGAGGTCGTTGAGGTCCTGCCCCTTCCTCCAGGGGGTGGCTTCAAGTCGGGCGCGTCCCTCGACAGGAGGAATCTTGGAGAATCATCCAACCAAAAACGGCCTGGGGACGATTCTTTGATTAGGTTTTGTCGCTCGTGGGCATTTTTACTATTTTTCATTGCTCCTCCAAAACCCGCCTGTAGGAGGACATACCCGACCTAAGGGTAGCTCCGCGCCGCAGATACATTTTCTATGGCCTCGGGCCCCAATAAGGGGCCCAGTCGGCCGAAATCGAAGAAAGAACGCCGGGTGAAACAATTTAGTGGCAGAAACTTAGAAAGTGGGAAGTCGCTGGAAGTAGATTGGGCTTCGGCCCGCCCCCCGAAGAGGAGGGAAGGGAGAACACTGCTCTACGCTTGAAGTAGGAAGGCGCCTGAAGTAGACAGGGATCTGGGAGTGCAGAGCCACCTGCGTTCAGCGACCGGCATCGCCAGCGAGGTCTGTGTCGTGCCTCCTTCAGCGCTCCTTCCGGTCGCAAGAGATGGCTGCGCTGCCTCCTCCCCCTCGCAGGCGCGCCCCCTCCGGCTCCCGCCTGCCTCGCCCAGGGCGTCTCGGTGTTCGCCGTCGTCCTCCCAGCAGGGGCGACGCGTCCTGAATCGCCTCAATCAGTAGGGAAAGAAACACACAGACACAATTAATCGTCGACTCCCCAGAAAATATGGGAAAATATGGGAATGTGGGGGGAAGACAAACACCCAGGAAATATAAGAAAAGATGGTGAATATTCTAATTTGTGTGTATTTATTTGTGTGTCCTGGGGCCCCTTCTCTCAAGGCCTACCAAAAGAAGGCTCAACAAGCCCTGTCTGTGGTCTGCACGAACGGGCCTTTCTTGCCGAGGCCGTGTGGTTTTATCCCATCGGCTTTGTGCTGTGAAGACCTCGAGCCTCCAAGACAGTCCAAAAAGCGCCCAGGAGCAGCATGAGACGAACACCATGGTTGACGCATATTTCTTCCTCGGAGCTCGTCCCCGTCGTCAAGTCAGGCCCCCAAGAGGCAGATCCTTCCTTGCCCCTGCCTTGGCATTGCTCGGACATGTGCATCTTTCCATCGGCGAGGACCATCGAGGAGCATCCTTGATCAGTTGGAGAAAAACCCACGCACGAAACCGAAAAAAAACACAGGAAATGGACGTCCGAGCGATGGCCGGCTGCCACTCTCGCACATCATCCCCGCTTGCATTCCAAGGTCGGGGCCTCGTGGCAACATCGGCAGGACATTTTGTGCTCTAAGAACCTTGCGTGGTGGGCTTAGAAGAATGCCGGGACGGCCGGTCCCTGCTCAAGTCACCAGTCCTCCCTCCCTTCTTCTGCAGACCCCCTCGGGCCATGAGAGAGCCACGACGGAGGGGGTCTCGGTTGCTCTCGGCCTCCAGGGCCCCGGGGCCCTCCTTTGTGGCTTCGGGGCCGTCAAACACGACGCGGGATGGGAAGCGAAATGTGATCGTTTTCTTTTTCATCGTCTTGCCGACCGGCGCCAGCCCTCGCACCCCCGCTCCCCCCGGCGCGGGCGCCCTGGGCGCGCTAGGCCAGCCTCCAGGCCGTGCACGCCAAGCTATCCGCGGACGTGGGCGCGCTGCAGGCCCCCCCCCCCGCTGCAGTGACCGCCGTGACCTGCAAGAGATCTGGGGGCCACGTACGGACCCTGCCCCTACCCCCCACGATTTCTGAGAGGTGGGGGGTGCAGGGATAGGGTTCGCATGTGCTCAAGATCCTGGGACACGACCCCGAGGCAGTGAATGTGCATATGTACTCCGTGGCGGTGCGCAAAGGGGGCTGGAGCAAGTGGGGTCCCAGGATCGCGCCGCAGCGCCGAAGCATCGGCGATGCGACGCGAGCCGGAGCCCGGCTCTCATTGCCCCCCGACGTCAAGAAGGCACCGCCGATGCATCGGCGATTCGGTGCGGCCCTGCGACCCCATCTGTTCTGGCCCCGTCCAGGCGGCCTTCATTCAAGGGGAGCGGGGGGCGGTCGCGCGTGGGCGTTTGCCGAAACGCGCACCTGCACCCCCTCGAAACGCGAAAGACAGTTTCTGTTTGTTTGTCCAGCTTTCGGCTTCCGCGGGCCTCTCCTCGGACTCCGGGACAGCCGACTTACGATCCGGGATGAAACGCAGGTCCCAGGACGCGATCAAGAGGGTTGGGGGTCATATGTTGATCAGGAGGGGAAAAAACGCACAGACACAATTAATCGTCGACTCCCCAGAAAATATGGGAAAATATGGGAAGTGGTGGGGAAGACAAAAACCCAGAACATATGGGGAACTATGGGGAATCTTTTTATTTGGGTGTATTCATTTGTGTGTCCCAGGGCCCCTTCAGTTGAAGCGGTCACGACGTCGGAGCTCTTGGAATGTCGGTCGGCGTGGTCGTGTCGGAGTGTGGACGTCCGTGGAGGTTCTCGGCGCCACGGCTGCGCGCGGCTCGAAAATTAGTTAGGAAGGACCACGGGAGGGGTGAAGGCGGGTTTGACAAGGATTCGGGGATGTGGTCCTCGGGGTTTCGGGCGAAGGCGCCGATTTCGCCCAGATCGGGGGCCCCGCAGGGGACCCGAACAGGCGTGTTCCCCGTCGTGGCCTCTGCGACCAGCTCCAGCGTCGAACATTCCTTCCTGCACGCATGTGTACTGTGGAGCGGTTCGTCGAGGGTGTTTTAAGCTGGAGGGCGAACCCCTTTCAGGTCCTCATGGTGCGTGTTCAGCACGCTTCCAAAAACGCCACGACAGGTTTCGGTCGAGGGTGCGCCCTGATTCAATTCCCTATTAAGTGCACCTTGCTTCAGCATGTTCCAACTCATCATCATTCCAGGGACATTCATCCATGCCCTCCAAATCGAAAGAGGGGCTGCGTACATTCGCAGGGCGAACAGGAACAACACACCGACATTGTGACGCTGTGCGTTGCCAAACCAGGAAATTTTGGATTGTGAGTAGAGCAGGATCAAGGATTCACACTCTCATCCTCGGTGAGCAGACACGATGAAGGATGAGCATTTTGTCCAGTCGAGTTTGCACGAGTGCAGCACTTTATACAATCTATAAATGTCCGCACGTTGTCGTATAGGTTGTTGAAAGTGTATTGCACATGTGCTTTGTAATCTGCACCATTGGGCACGGATGTGCAGATCTAGGGCTGGTGCTCTCTGTTCGACGCAACCAGGCAGTCTTGGCACCCTGGGCCGCAAATGTTACATCAGTGATTCACCTCAAGACGCTGTGATAGGAGCAGTCGTGATGCATCTGCGCTGGGCGATTTCCAAACAGCGTGGTGAAGCATCATAGCGCTTCCTCAGAAAGTGGCACTGGTAAGTTGAATTTCAGCGCTTACATGTTGTACCGATGCACAATGTGTGGTGCCTCGCATATCCCCAGCAGCCCGTCCAGAAACGATTCCGAGGTGAACTGTAGGGAGAAGGAAAGCAGAGGATCCTTGGTGAAAGAACGCGGGGATGGCCAGCCGAACCGAAGCTGGGATGGGCCCAGGGAGCGCCCACGGGGACCTGCCTAGGACTCCCTGGCAGCCTCTTGGAGGCCCTTGGGGGCCATAGGAGGAATAGGAGGAGGAGGAGGAGGAGGAGGAGGAGGAGGAGGAGGAGGAGGAGGAGGAGGAGGAGGAGGAGGAGGAGGAGGCGGAGGAGGAGGAGGAGGAGGAGGAGGAGGAGGAGGAGGAGGAGGACGACGAGGAGGAGGAGGAGGAGGAGGAGGAGGAGGAGGAGGAGGAGGAGGAGGAGGACGAGGACGACGAGGACGAGGAGGAGGGGGAGGATCGCCAGGATCGCCCCCAGGAGCAGCATGGCAAGAGCAAGACGATGGTGGACGCGCTGCGGGGCCAGCAGGGCCACTTCATGCGGCAGCACAGCCGCGACATCGAGGGCCTGCGGGACCAGCACCTCAGGCTCAGAGGGTCAGGCATCGAGGTTCCCAGACCCCCTCGCGTTGTGCACAGAAATCACGACAGGAGTTTTGTTCGCTATTTTCGGCCTTTGGGGGCCCTCCCCAGGCCTCCGGACTTTCAAACAAACGGCTCAGAATGAAGACCGTTCCTGGGGAAGGGGTCCAGACCTCTGGGGGTCGACATTGTGAAAACATCACGGCGTCGCGTGTCTTGGGTTCGAGGACCGAGGTTGGAGCGGGCTGGGGCGCTGAGGTGGGCCAGCACTGGCGGCTGGCCGCGGAAGGGGGGCAGCAGTAGGCCGGGGGCGAGGATCGGCAGTTTTCCCGTCTTCGTTTCCCATTCCATCCCCGGCGCTTCAACCGGGCACGACGTGACGGGAAAATCGACGCCACGAGGTAGCAGTGTCAGTTGGAATCCAGAGAAACAGCGTCCGAATGGCGAATGCCATTGTGACCAGGCAGCTGAAAAAATCGACATGCATGGCGAAGGATCAACCAGATGCAACTGCGAGTGCCTCAAGATAGGTGGAAACTAAGGGAGGGGTTGACTACCCTGCACCGCGCTTGACCACCTCCACTGCTCGCGCAAACATCCCACCCACCCACCCGCTACTTGGTTTGCAAAATCTCTTAAGACCGTGACGGTTGGTACCAAACGGCACTTGGCAACGACAGCGACGCCGACGACGACAGCGACAACGACGACGACGACGCTGCCGACAACGACTACGACGACACCGACGACGTCTCCAACGATTTCGACGACGCCGACAACGACGACGACGACGACGCCGACGCCGACGCCGACGCCGACGCCGACGCCGCCGACGACGACGACGATGACAACGACGACTACGATGACGACGCCGACGACGACGACAACGACGACACCGACGACGACGACAACGTCAACGACGCCGCCGCCGACGACGACGACGACGGTGGCGACGGCGACGACGCCGACGTCGACAACGACGAAGACGACGACGACGCCGACGCCGACGACGACGACGAAGACGACGACGACGTCGCCAACGAAGACGACGACGAGGGAGGAGGGAGGACGACGACGGCGACAACGACGACAACGACGACAACGACGAGGGAGGAGGGAGGACGGCGACGACGCGAACGACGAAGAAGGAGGAAGGACGGCGACGCCGACGACGACAACGATGAGGGAGGAGGGAAGACGACGAGGACGACGACAACGACGACGACGACGACGACGACGGCGACGAGATAGGAGGGACGACGACGAGACGCCGACGACGGACGACGACGACGACGAGGGAGGAGGAGGAAGGACGACCACGGCGACAACGACGACGGAAACGACCACGACGCCAAAGAGGACGACGACGACGAACACAAGGAAAGACAGAGGACGACGTAGGCGACGACGACGACGCGGGAGGAGGGAGGACGGCGACGACGACGACGACGCAAGAGCGCGCGCGCACGCTTTTGTTGAAAATCCATGTTGCGAAACCTTGTGTTTTTGTATGCTTTTTGGACACGATTTTGAAGTCCTTTCGAAACCGATGGGTTGTGAAGGATCTCGGCATGCGCGCGCGACGACGCGCGCGTCTGCTTTCGCGCGCCCTTTGTTTGCAGGGGATTCTCGCGTCGGCACACGCGCAAGGGCGTTCGACAGATTTCGACATGCGCGCGCGAAGCCCGTTTGGTAGCATGTTGTGAACAATATGGAAAACCGATGGTTTCTTAAGATTTCGCATGAGCTCGCGCGTAAGCTTTTTTAGCAAATCAGTGTTGCGAAACCTGGTGTTTTTGTATGTTTTTTGTTGGAAGCTCGATTGCGAAATCCCTCTGGCACCGAAGGTTTTTGAAGGATTTCGGCATGCGCGCGCGACGACGCGCGCGCGTGCGCACTTCGCCATTTTTTGCAAGGGATTGTGGAACAGTCTTAGGCTAGAGCAAAATATGTCCCCGCCTATTGTTTTTACAAAGGAACCTCATGGCGGGCGATACGGCCCCCCCGGGGATAGTGTAAACTCATATTTAGGATGGACATGTGGTCATAATCGTATACAGTCGGGGCCCTGAAGAAGGAACCCTTTTCGTTGCGTAGGGGCTCGTTGTTCCTTGATTGTTTCAAAGTTTGCCTCGGGTTCTCCTGAGGTCTTCCATGGGGAATCGAAGGTTCACTTATGGAAAAAAGGGGCCTCGTTCCTTATTTGGGGTTCCTTAGGTCAACGCCCCCACTGTATGATTTACATACCCGAAAGGGGGACCGATAACGCCAGGGGGAGGAAGAGTCTATTCTCTTTGTAGAAAGGAGAATTTAGCAAAACGAGTCACGAGTGCCTGAGACGGACGGAGCGACGCTGCTGATGGGGTCGCAGGTAAACGTGCGAGGGGTGTGCCGAAATCGGCAGGGTCGCGCATGCGATTCCTCCCAATTGGGCCTTAGGTAGAAGCTCCTTATGGGGCCACGAAGCGCGTGAGGGGTGCGCGAAGGTGGGGCGGCGGCGGCATGCGGGCGCAAGCACTGAGGCTTTAGGCGGAGCTCCCCCTGGGGCCACGAAGCGTGTCAGGGGATGTGTGTCGAAGTTGGGTTGCTGCGGCATGCGGGCGCAACCGCTGGGGCCCTCGGTGGGGCTTCCTATGTGGCTCCCCGCGCGGCGTCGGAAGCTTTCTCGGCCAGCGATGTTCGCGCGGCTGTCGGCGCGCAGCAGCGCCAAGCGGGATGGCGCCTCGCCGCGCGGCCTGCGACGCGCGAGCGCGCGCGGGCGCCCCTGCGGCGGGGCCCCGCCGCGCGAGAGGGGGGCTGCGTGAGGAGGCGTCAGTTGCAGCCGCCTTGTTCGCGCTGGGGTCGGCGCGCGGCGCCGAGCAGCTTCCTCGCTCGCTGGACAGCGCTCGCACGCGCAGGGGGAGGCTCGCGTGTCGCACGCCTGTGGCTGAATCTTGGGTCGCGACGCCTGGTGCTGGGGCTGGCGTGCGGCGCCAATCCAGGGCCTCGCGCTGAGGTCGGCGCGCGAGAAGTCGCCCGCTGCAGCGGCCGCGCAAGTGCCGCGCGGGGCGCGGGGGGGGGCGCTGCATATAGGAAGACTCCAGCAGAAAGCGCCGCGAGCGAGCGCAGAGGGCCCCCCCCGGGGCGCGCGGCGCGCGGCGCCAGAATGCGCCGCGCGCGAGCGGGCCCGCGCGAGCATGCCATCGGGGCGCGCCAGAATGCGCCGCGTGCGAGCGGGCGCGCAGGCGAGGCTCCCTCGGGGCGCGCCCGCGAGCGCCGCGCGCGAGCGGGCACCTGCGGCAGAGGAGCCGGCGCGCGCCGCGCGCGCGAGCGGGCGCGCGTGAGGCCGACCTGGGAGCGCGCCCAAGGTCTTGGCATCGCTCGGGCGTGTGCATGTCTCCGCCGGCGAGGACCATCGAGGAGCATCCGTGATCATGTCGCGAAGAAGCCACGCACGAACCCCCAAAAAAGCACAGGGGATGGACGTCCGAGCGATGGCCAGAGGTGCGCCGCCTGCGAGCGAGCGCGCCCTATAGGGCGCCTTTGGCAGGGCGCGCTGGGGTGCGCCGCGCGCGGGCGGGCGCGCGCGGAAAAGGGCAGGCGCCCGCGCGCGGGGGATGCAATTGAAAGCAAAATTGCGAAGCTCTTTCGGGGGCTCCAGAAACTGTTTTTCGTCAGCGCGTGGACCCCCCTTCCTGATCATCTCCGCGCGGACGAAAACAGAGAGGGAGGTCTTATTTTTCGTGCTCGCGCCAGGGGGGGAAGGCGTCGCCCGCCGTCCACGCCGCTTCGAGGCGGGCGAACCGACCCTCGCCCGCCACTGTAATGCATCTGGCAAGCCGCTGAACCGGCCTTCAGTCGCTCGCCGCCTTGCGATTGTCAGGGCCGGCGCTCGCTCCAGAGAGAGAGAGAGAGAGGGAGAGAGAGAGAGAGAGAGAGAGAGGGAGAGAAAGAGAGAGAGAGAGAGAGAAAGAGAAAGAGAGAGAGAGAGAGAGACAGAGAGAAACAGAGAGGGAGAAAGAGAGAGAGAGAGAGAGAGAAAGAAAGAAAGAAAGAACGAGAGAGGGAGAGAGCGAGAGCGAGAGCGAGAGAAAACAGAGAGAGAGCGAGAGAAATAAAGAGAGAGAGAGAGTGAACTAAATGAAAGAAAGAGAGAGACAGAGAGAGAGAGAGACAGGAATACACAGAGAAAGAGAGAGAGAGAGAGAGAGGGAGAGAGATAGAGAGAGGGAGGGAAGGAGGGAGAGAGAGAACTATACAGAGATATTGAGAAAGGTAAAGACATAACGGGAGGGAGGGAGAGAGAGAGAGAGAGAGAGATGGATAGAGAGAAAGGGACACATATAGATATAATACACATATAGAGAGAAGGAGATCGAGAGAGAGAGAGAGAGAGATAACGAGAGAGAGAGAGAGAGAGAGACAACAAAATAGAGAGAGAGAGAGAGAAATAAAGAGAGAGAGAGAGAGAGAGATAGAAAAAAGGAGTAAGAGAGACAGAGTGAGAGAGAGAAAGAGAGAGAGAGAGAAAGAGAGAGGGGGGCAGAGAGAGAGAGAGATATAAACAGGAACAGGATCGGGAACACAGGCGTAAACATGTGCTGTCGGAGATCCGCGAGCGGATTCTTAGGAGATCGGCGCCGATGCCCCCTTTTTCCCTGGCGAGCGCGACGCGCGCCAGGGAGGCGCTGATGCTCAAGACATTCATTATGCGGAGCTCCGAACATCTGTAGTGCCTTCTGCGTTTCATCTTGCCCCTTCTCCTGGCGGCGAGCGAGGGGGTAATTGAGGATCAGAAGCCCTTCGCACGAGGCGTCGGGGCTCAGAAGCCCTTCGGCCTTTTGAGAAGTCTTTTATGTCTTCGGGGAAGGCTCAGACAACTTCTCAGAAGGCCGGGGGACTTCCGAGCGTTCTGAGGAGGCTCGGTCGGGGTCTTTCTACAGGAGGAAAGATCAAAACAAGTAAAACAGAACATGTGGACGAGTCTTCCACTATTTTGGCTATGGTGGAATCTTTGTTGACATTCTTTTTGCTTTTCTTCCACAATCCGCCCGTCGGAGGACATGCTCGACCTGCGAGGAGGCCCGCCCCTTCTCACTTTCCCCCGGGCTCGCCGGTGAGCCTTGGCTCCCTCCAAGAGACGACCGCGGTGCCCAGGCTCCACGAGGAGCTCGAGGGCCTCGCCGAGCAGGTGGGGGCCCTGATGAGCAGCGCGCCGCCCCTCCTCCACGAGGTGCCCGCATGGGGGGCTCTGCGGGCAGTGCTTCTGTCCACATCCGCTGCAGCTTGGAGCTTCGAGCTCCCTCCCCAGAAGCCCGTGGCACACTGGATCTGGGTGGAAATCCCCCCCCCCCTGGGGAGGCTCGACTGGTATCCATATCCAGGGCGCCGCGGCCCCGTGGCGCCCCTTGTCAAGAAGGTCCAGGACGCACTGGATATAGATATGAGTCTTGCCCGCAGGCTTCGCTCCACAGCCCGCCCTGCCCCCCCCGCCGCTGGAGCCGGGGGCTCTAGCAGGAGCAGGAGATCGACTCCAGAATTGATTTACCCCAAGCTTGATGTTGCCATCGTCTCCACAATGAACACGTATGATATTCGTAGATCTACGGAAAGCTGCGCGTTTTAGTCGACTCGGCTAGCATGTCACTTCGGAGGTAAATCAATTTCGTAGTCGATCCCCCACTCGAAGGATGGGAGTTTCCCAGGGCGACCGTCAACGTCCCCTCCCAGACTTGCTCGCGGCGTGACACACATCACGACGGCGGGCTTCTGGCCGCCTTGCGCCTCGGGGGGCCCTCGCCGGGCCCTCGCGGGGCCGTCCAGAGCCGGCTCGGGGCGAGAAACCGGCCCTGGGGGCCGGCTCGGGACTCCTCGGGGCCCCCGCGCCGCACACGTCCGCTCTGCCTCTGCCACGTCGGAGCGCCCCCTCCCCGTCGACCCCTCGGGGGCGCGGCCGCCCTCGCCTCCGCCTCTCTCTCTCTCTCTGGCACGCCGGACAGCTTGCCGCTGGGTCGCCCCGGCTCGCCCCACGCTCGGTGCGGATGGCCTCTGCCGCGCCGCCGGCGGGGAGCACAAAAAATAAAAGCGGGTTGCAGACGTCAAGCCGTCGGGTGCCCGGGCTCGGATGCCCGGGCGCGGCTCGCCGAGGAGCAGGCGGGGTGCCGCGAGTCCTCCGTCGCTCTCGGGCACCCGTGGAGGGCCTGGCTCGGGCCTGGCTCGGGCCCCCTGGTGGGACCGTCAGGGGAGAGCGACGAGGAGGAGGAGGAGGAGGAGGAGGAGGAGGAGGAGGAGGAGGAGGAGGAGGAGGAGGAGGAGGAGGAGGAGGAGGAGGAGGAGGAGGAGGAGGAGGAGCGAGAAGCGAGAAGAGAAGCGAGAAGCGAGAAGCGAGAAGCGAGAAGCGAGAAGCGAGGAGGAGGACCAAGAACGGAACCAAGAACAGGGCATCGCATGTCTAGTCTGGGAGGCCCTCTCGCGGTGCGCGGCTCCAGGCTCCCAGTCGTCGGCGCCCCCTCTCCCCCCTGGGGGCGCCGGCAGTCCGCGCCGTGCCTCCGCGCGTGGCATCATACGCGGGGTCCTCGGCGGGCGCATCTGGCGTGCCGCCGTGGAGCTCTTGGCGACCAGCACGGGTGCCGGGCATTTCGGAGGGAGGCATTCGGCTGCTGGGAAGGCAGGGGGTCCGTGCTGTCAGAAGCAGCCGCCCCCCCTCCTTGGGGTGTTGCTAGAAGTGGTCTTGGCCCGCGGTGTTCCCTCTGGAGCGCCTCTGGGGCCCTGCGAGCCTCGTGGGGAGTACTCTCGGGAGGCCCTCTCCGAACCTCCCCGGGGAATCGTTTGGGGGCACCTTGGGGCAAGGGGATACTCTTGGCAGCGCCCCCTAGGCACCACAAGGCGTACACCTTCTGAGGAAGCACGTGCCGTTTTCACGGCCAACCTTCTGCTTGCTGCTGATGAGGAGGAGCAGGAGGGAGGAAGGAGGATGATCAGGAGGGATGGTGGTGATGGTGATGATGGTGATGATGATCATGATGATGATGCTGATGATGATGCTGAAGCCGGTGCTGATGCTGATGCTGATGCTGCTCATGATGCTGCTGATCATGACGACAACGACGATGATGATGATGACGACGACGAGGATGGTGATGACGATGATGATGATGATGATGCTGCTGCTGATGATGATGATGCTGATGATGCTGATGATGCTGATGCTGATGCTGATGCTGATGCTGCTGATGATGATGATGATGGTGATACTGATGATGATGATGATGCTGATGATGATGATATGCTGCTGATGACCATGATGATGATGATGATGATGATGATGATGATGATGATGATGATGATGATGATGATGATGATGATGATGATCATGATGATGCTGATGATGATGATGGTGACGATGCTGCTGCTGCTGCTGCTGATGATGATGATGATGATGATGATGATGATGATGATGATGATCGCGCTCTCCAAAGGTGATCCTCGCAATGCCGTGAACGCTCACCGCCACAGGCTGCACAGACCGATGCCCCTCCCACGCGCCCGCGAGCACGCTGCGCTGGCGAGGACAGGGCACCTCTACGCAGTTCTCTCAGTGCTAAAGGCAAGGGATATGGATGGCGTGCGCTCGCGCCCGCACAGCAGCCCGATCGGCGACCCGTAGGCCCCCTGGCCTTCACTCAAGCGCGTCAATGTGAGACCAAGCCGATGTGAGCGCTTCCTCAATCTCGAAACGCTCCTGCTCAGCTTCCTGCTCGTCTGCGTCGTCGTCGGCGTCGGCCAACGCCTGCTGGGCCTCCACGTACAGGGCCTCCAGCTGCGAGATGCGGTGCATGACCATGCCGCGCTTGGCCGCCCTGGCGCCATCCCACTTCATGGTGGTCTCGGTCGCCCTGCGTGGCATCCTCCAGGCGCTCCCAGAGGTCGACCACGCAAGTTAGCAGAGGGGGTGGCGTGTCGGAGTCGCCGTCCGCCTCCGCCGCCGCCGCCACCGTCAGCTCCCCCTTATACATCGCCTCCACGCCGTGCTCCTCCTCGTGCTCGATCGTGCCCAAGCGGGGGGCTGCAAGTAGGGATCAGGAGTGTCCCGTTCCACGGGTCCTAGATCGAAATTCATTTCCGAGCTGTATCTGATCACGTGAGGGCTCCGCTTCGCCGCCAGCTCCTTCTCGCAATTGCCAGTGCATGCCAGCCGCGACCTGCTTCTCCGCGAGCTCGTGCGACGCGATCGTGCCATCATCGTTGAGCTCGTTATCGAGCGAGGGGAAGGGCGGCACCGCCAGCAGGGGGTTAGTCGCGCAACTCTTCTCCGCCTCGCCTTGGCCGTCCAGCTCCGTCCCGTTCTCGCCGTCGTGCATCGCGTCGTTCACCCCGCCTGCTGCGAGGCTAACCGCCGACAGCGCGGGGCGCGCCACAAGCCTGGGCCCCTTCTGGGCTCGCCGTAGCGAGCGCGCCCTCGCCGTCCCCAGCGGCCAGGGCGACACTGCCGCGTGGAGCGCAACGTTCCTCCGCAGCGTGTCGACGGGCGACTCGATGGCCTTGCCGTGCACCATGTCCTTCAAGTGCACCGCCATCGCGGCCGGGCGCTCCGCCGTGTCGGGGTCCCCCAGCGACTCCACCAACTTCTCGTAGCGGCTGCGCCAGAAGCGCACGGCCCGCTGAAGGTCGTGGACGAGCACGTCCCCGGACAAACGGGCCCACGCCTGGCCAGCTCGGCGCCTCTGCCGCCGTGCTGCCCTCGGGCTGCACACATCGCCGCCAGCGGCGGCTTCCCGCCAGGGGGCCGCCTCCCGCGCCATCACAAACCGCACCAGTCGCCGAGAGAAGCTGGCCCGAAGGCTTGAGACATAATGGCTGCGTACGATAATGCCGATGATGATGA